TTCCGAACCCGCGACCCTCAGTATTGACGGAGTCGTAGTGTCCCTTAACCACCTGGCCATGCCGGGCGACGAAGAGTATGTTGACGAATAAGATCTAGATCTATATCTAGATTTTTATCGCTCATATTAAAACCCTTTTAATTTTTAACTGGTTTACAACTGTGTTCGAGTTTAACATGTGGAAAAACGAGTTAGTTTGTTTAGGTTATTAACTTGATAAGCTTGATGCCGACATTCCCTTCCCCAGAACAACGACAACGAGAAAAGGAATATCGATACGGAAGGATGTTTCACATCAGAGGCATTAAATTTATGTATGTACTAATAAAACTCATCGTACTATTGGAAAAGCCATTCTTCCAAATATTATGCCACTTAAGTTAGAGCGGCACAAGCATATCATCAAATGATACTTCATGGACTTAATTAAAGTTATACAGGTATCACAAATCGAAACAAAGTCATAACATTGTGTGCCATTATTACTGTACGTGCACCTTATTATACGTTAGAGGGTGAGATTTACGCCTTAACCCTCAAGAGGATTGTGGGTCTCCTAGCTTAAAAATCATCATAGGTTATTACTTATATTAATTACAACAAAACATCAATATTTGAGTGGATACAGTTAAATAATTAGATGAAAACATACATTATGATTATAAAACATTTTGGACAAAGACAAGTTTCATGCGCTCGATCGACACTATTGAACACCCTAATATTACAAAAAGCTACAAATATATATATATATATATATATTGTTGAATAAGACCGATGTTTGTAGGTTTACTTTCTTCTTGGAAATCTTCTCAAGAAGTCGACTTCTTGAGAAGATTTCCAAGAAGAAAGTAAACCTACAGTCATCGGTCTTATTCAACAAAATCTGCCTACAGGAAAATCTGTCACCAAAGTACACCAACATTCGAATATATATATATATATATATATAATCGTTACTGTCATAATATTACTTCTGCCAATAACGAAGTCTTATAACGCGTTTGATTTTTGATGGAAGTAACAATAATACACTTATTTTCTAAAAAAAAAGGAGATGTGTTCGTCTCGTTACCTTCTCTCTGTTGTACACTTACTTCACTAGATTGTAGTTACTAAATTCTAAACGAATAAAATATCTAAACGATCTGTCAAATGTGATTCTCTTTTGTGTAGCTACTAACACTAATATCAGAAAGCAGCTCACAAAATGATTTTCAGGCTGACCTCTAAATCACCAGGGGACAGAACTTATTAAATATTGTTTCACGTGCACTTTTTTTTGTAACTTTTTTTTTTTCAGTATTTCATCAATATGGCGGCTACTTATATTTCAATTCCAACACTAAAGACTTAGTGTTAACTGTAACTGTATTATTTCCATATAACCTTATTTTATTCCTTGTAATATAGATCATCAAACTAATAAGCCCTTATTCGATGACGAGGAACCCACTTTGAGACTAATAATGGTTGGAGACGGCCTGAATGGGTAATGAAGAAAAACTTTAATATAAGTTTAACACAACAGCAAATGTACAACCTTTCGACAAGGTTTTGTCATCATCAGGTACTATTAAAGTTTTTCTTCATTACCCATTCAAGCCGTCTCCAACCATTATTAATAAGCCCTTAGTACGTAAGTGAATTAAATTATATTTATTTACTTCAGAAATGATGTTCTAGTCGTAACAATTAGTTTCGTTTCTGGTATAAGTAAAAAGGTAATGAGTATCATTTTATATTCAATGGTTAATGAGACATTATGATGTGTCCTGGTATGCGTTATAAGATTTTATGTGAGATTTTCAGACAGCTATTCAAATATTTTTACTAATAATACATGAAAGTAACCAGAACGAAACAAAAACTTATGTACTGGCCCAATTTTCTTTTTTAAGTAAGATTTAAAAAGGACCTACTCGCCCTAAATCAAGTTGACATGCTCAGTAAGGGTGTTGCGAAATAGTGTAAGGGCATATTCGGTTTAACCCTACGTACAAGGGCTCGATCTATTGGACAGAACCCGTACCGGAAAATTAACGTTTATTAAAGCTTAAGTCTACTATACATTTTTTATTTTCACATTAAAAAAATTAATTTCTCATGTTCGAAAAGTAAGATCGCCTTAAGTTAGAGTCAATAAGGTAGTGAAAAGTTTTAATAACAGTGCTTTTCTAATAGTGTATAAACGCTCTACCTGACGAAGTATGACTCCTTCATGAAAAACACATCAAAGAAACACTAATAATAACCTAATTTATATATATATGTATGTTATTATTTCCATATGCTACTTTTCCCCAACACTAATAATAACCTAATTTATATATATATGTATGTTATTATTTCCATATGCTACTATTCCCCAACACTAATAATAACTTATTTATATATATATGTATGTTATTATTTCCATATGCTACTATCCCCCAACACTAATAATAACCTAATATATATATATGTGTGTGTGTGTTATTATTTCCATATGCTACTATCCCACAACACTAATAATAACCTAATTTATATATATATATATGTGTGTGTGTGTGTTATTATTTCCATATGCTATTGTTCCACTATTGTTTCCAGCAAGAAATGTGTAATTTCGGTTCATTTGAACCTTATGTGCTGTATGCTTTTACCGATGGTTACAACTGACACAGCGTTTTAATTATGACCACTCTGCCTGATGAGCGCCTTTGTAAGATTATCCTTAGAAAGTGGACGAATAACAAGAAAATATAAACCTCGTCGGCAACATGTTGAATTTAATTTCTATAAACACATATAATATCACACCTATTAAACATTAATTAATGTGTTTCATGTTAATCTTCGGTTAACTTTCTCATTAGGTTATATCATTTGTAAATGTATTATACTCATTGGCTTCAGATAGAGAAGGAATCAAAAGCGCTCGTTCTGCGAATTAATTAACTGTCTATCCCATATATATATTATCTACTGAGCTAATATTTACAATCAGTGTTTTCAATCAGTTCCTTTGATATCTATTTCATCAACTGTGCGCTAATTCAAGCAACCTGCAACGGTGAATGATATTCTTTAGACCGAAGCAACGAATGAATGTATTTAACAAATGAATGTACTTAACGAATGAATGTATTTAACGAATGAATGTATTTAACGAATGAATGTATTTAACAAATGAATGTACTTAACGCCTGAATGTATTTAACGAATGAATGTATTTAACAAATGAATGTATTTAACGAATGAATGTATTTAACAAATGAATGTACTTAACGAATGAATGTATTTAACGAATGAATGTATTTAACGAATGAATGTACTTAACGAATGAATGTATTTAACGAATGAATATACTTAACGAATGAATGTACTTAACGAATGCATGTACTTAATGAATGCATGTATTTAACGAACGAATGTACTTAACGAATGAATGTATTTAACGAATGAATGTACTTAACGAATGAGTGTACTTAACGAATGAATACTTAACTAATGAATACTTAACGAATGAATGTACTTAACGAATGAATGTACTTAACGAATGGATGTACTTAATGAATGCATGTATTTAACGAATGAATGTACTTAACGAATGAGTATATTTAACGAATGAATGTATTTAACGAATGAATGTACTTAACGAATGAATACTTAACTAATGAATACTTAATGAATGCATGTATTTAACGAATGAATTTACTTAACGAATGAATGTACTTAACGAATGAATGTATTTCGAAAATAACAAACATTATACGTAGATAGAAAATTAAAATCGTGTCTTGGTTTCGTTCTTAGGCTCTTGGGTGTTACTAATGCTGTTTGTGCATTTGTCGATCTTGGGATCGTAAATCAAATTCTGGGATAATAACAGTATATTTGTCTCTGTGTATCTTTACTTTCCGCTTCCTTACGTTTACGTAGAATTTTGTGTTTCTATTTCGCGACTATACATTAGAATACTCATTTGGAATAAAATACGAATATTTTCACATGTATCGTGCTTATTTATTTCGCTCCATTTTCTTACATACTCCGTATTATTTAAAGTAAAAACGTATCCACTCTTACCTCTCTACATATATATAGACATATCTACAGCATATGGGTTTCTATAGCAGGGTCTAGTGTCCTGACCAGGCACCCTCCATCCTCCAGACTGAAAATGCATAACTGAGCCGCTCGTGCGCTACATAGCTGCACGAGCTTGTCAGTTTACTATCGTGGTCGTCATTTCTCAAGACTTGATACAAGAAGTCAATATACCTACTTGCTAGTTTTAGAGTCTGTATTTTACTGAGCTTATCAGAAGGTAAAGTTGGGATGATTTTTCTGAGTGCAGAAAAAGCTTCATTCAAACTCTGAGTCCGCTGGCGTTCTCGGACATTAGCTAAAACCCTTTGATTCTGTAATTCTTCGAAACTCTGACAAGTCCTTTTACGAGGTGGACAGTGTCCGCCAGATTCTCGTCGTTTCACATTACTGCGTTTACGCTGCATCTTTCCGGTTGCGTCTTGATCGGGCAATGGCGCAATACATAAATCTGAACTAAGCGGCTTTTTTGTCACCACGATCTGCAGAGATTTCTGAGGGTCTAACGAAGACGCGGGCGTGCGAAACAGATGAGACTGTACCATCACATGTTGACTGAGATCCAGCTGTTCTTTCATACTTTTGGGTTCTGATTTGACAGGCGTAGAGTAAGACATAATAGTGTAGGCAGATGTTATAGTTGAAGCTGCATCTGACAGTGGAGAAACGGAAACTTGGTTTGTTGAAAAATCAGAACCTGAAGAGCTTCTTTCCAGATTAACAGCATAAGTTTTGTCCATCGTAGGTACAGGCGTCATCTTGAAACATTAAAGCTCATCCAAGAGCAAAATTAATTGGTTGCTCAGTAACGTGGTCAAAAACAATAATCCCACAAGCTTCTTAGCCAGTAATGGGCGCGAATGTTAATGTGTCACTCTGCTCTTCCAGAGGTTTAATAGCTTGTGTTATAAAAGCCTAGAAAGGATAAGCGGTACGACTACACGTGTCTCGAGTTAATTTTACTCATCAGACTTAACCGAAGGCACGCCTCATTACTTACGTAGTCTTTTAGTGACACACGTGGGTTTCCGTCAGCCAATCACCTATCACAAATTAAATCGGGGCCGTTCGAAAGTGACAAGACAATGATGATCCCAACACAAATTTAGGAACGAAGTCAAAGGAATAGTCATATTTATTTATTTGTGTATAGACTTCTTTAGTTTATAACAACTGCTATTTATTACTCCTGAATGTGAACGGGTTTTTTTTTTTTAATAAGTTAGAAGTTTATGTAAATTATGTTCATGCTTATTAGAGCTACTTGAAAAGTGCTTCTGCTCTAAGCATTTATCCAATAAGTGTTGCCAGTATATAGCCTGAAAAACAAGGGTGTGGTAACTATAAATTAAGAATAATTCATATACATGGTGTAAGTTATCAACGTGCATTAATATTATTGTCAGGCAACTGTTAAAATATCCTCGTTTCTAGCTTTAAATGTACTGAACGTGAACATTTCGTTCAACAACAACAAGAAGAATACTATAGTTTCGGCCACTTCAACTTGATTATATTTCTATGTTTTTCCTTCTTCATTTTGTTACTTTTTATACGTCAGTGGATACCTTTCAGCTGGTTTCCTTTTCGCTTAAAGCTACTAGAGGGCTATTTGCGCTAGCCGCCCCTAGTGATAGACTAGAGGGAAGGCAGCTAGTCAACACCACACCCGCCGACTCTTCGGCTACTCTTTACCAAATTTAGTGGGACTGACCATCACAGCTGAAAGGACGATCACGTTCGGTAACAGGAATTCGATCCTGCGGCCCGCAGATTGCGAGTCGAGTTTCCCAATCACCAGGCCATACCAGGCCTTGTTATTCTTACTGGTTATATTCTAACAACACTGTCTTCAGAAATCCTTAAACAAAATATTCTACTTCAGTAAAAACAAATAAGTAAAAATGTCCATTAATCGAATAGCTCACAGTACAAGTAGCTCTCCGGTATAGTTCAATTGTAAGCTTGAGGGCTTATAATATTAAGGTTTGGGGTTCGAATCCCGCAGCAGTACACCAGAGATAACCCCTTATACAACTGTGCGCTTAACAACAAACAAACTCTTTTTGTTTTAATGCAAAATTGTATGAAGACCTAACTGCGCAATGTCCACCGCAAAGATCGAATCTCGAATTCAATGTTATACGCCTCCAAGCTTAACGCTGATCCACCGGGAACTGTGCTCCTCTGAATAAAAAAAAATAGACATTGACAAAATAAAAATAACATAGAGTGAGTAAAATAAAAAACACGTTCAAATATTTTAAAATGTGGTTAAAGGTACGATATAAATGCAGATAGCAATCTTGCTGTTTGATCATTAGTGCAGTTTCGGTAACCTTGGTGATTAGTCTGCTCTGTTAAAATAATTTTAATCCAATTCCGTCAATAATATATTGTATCACGTTTTTGAAAGCAATTACTTTAAATCTATTTAAATTAGTATTTACTTACTTCTAAAAACAATAAAATTGTCAAAACCGTATCGTTGTAAACCCAGTAAAGCTGGAAAATATGATGAAAGTACCTTATTCAACAATAAGTCAGCTTACCTGATATTGAAAGTAAATCATGATAACTGTTATTCCATGTAACAAACAATTGCTTATAATTTTGTTAGTGTGATATTCTTCATTAGAGACATTAGATTCACAGTAACAAAAAGGTAGCATTATTTTATTAGTAAGCACTGTAACGGTTCAAAAGACAAATGGAGATCGTCAGTAGGGCTGGATAAAGTAGAAGTGTCTGTTTGTTTTTATAATTTTAGCGCAGAGCAGTCTCTACTTTTGAACTGATACACTAGAGAGAAGGCAGCTAGTCAACAGGTGTCATCTCCTACTCTTGAGCTTACCTTGTTTGACCGAAACGTAGGACTTAATAGTGAGCCGTATAGCTTACCCAAGGTCCTAAAGTGCAGAACACATATTAAGCGGAAACAGGGCGCGAGCCATAAACCTTCGGATTTCACATTCTTCAAGCACGCTAACCACTCGGTCATGACCGTCTCGTAGAAATGTACAGAGTGTTAATCATTCTTTATTTAAACGACTTTTAATAGATAATGCAACGGCATGGCGCTGATATGTTTGGTATATATATATATATGTGTGTTTCGCATTACATTCATGACAATTTGACAGTGAGATGGTGCAACACATAGACTTATGGCTGGTGGGATATAAATTGTTTTTCCAAAGAGACGTATTTTTCTGAAAGCTTTTATTATTTTCTAAGTAAGCTAAACGTGTAAAAACCACTGCCAGGTAGGTTTAGGGTCCATTGGTGTTAGCTTTGACATTGCCCTAAGGAACGATTTTTTATTTTTCTCGTGTTTCTGGAACATGATAACTAGTGTTTGAGTTTAGAGTCTATTATTTTATTTAGCCCACCATCATGCCCAAAGTGGGACAAAAACGCGGCCTAGCTAATTAATGAATGAATATTTGCTGTAAAATTCTTATCAATGCTATAAGTGTAGCTACCAGTCTGGCCTCCAATTTTGGTCTCATTCCTTTAAGTCGCACGCTGAGTCCTTTTTTGGCTGCACCTTTTTTCACACTTAAGGTGTTCTTGATTAGATATCAATGACTTCTGTCAATACACACCAACAAACCACAACAGGTAAGAAAGCGACACTCGGTAGTAACTAAAATTAGCTTTAGGATCGCAATCCAATTATTCGGAACAGACCTATACTTAAGAGAACCAACCAGATTCCTTAAAACATAAGATGGTAGTTTCCTCTCTAAAACAGTGTTAATAACTTCCTTTATTGTAATGCCATGGAATCTAAATTGACAGGTTCTTGTAATCACCCGCATGTACTCGGTACAGCCATATCAAGCGTCATTATTTACGCTAATATCACGTGACGCTAAACACTCTTTAATTAGGAGAATTTCATAAAATTTAGCAGATGTGTGCTTAAAATTTGGCAATGAATAATAACCGTCCACCCGTATGATTCTTTTAAAAACTTGAACTAGAAACTGCTAATCTAGTTTGCTTGGCTTAACTAATACTTATGTATCTGTAGGTCCTTTCACCTTATAGTTTTGCTGATCTAGGTCAGCCGTCTTTGACCCCAATGCCAAAGAATTAAAAAGGATCCACTTTTACTCTTAGGTGAAGCTGTCGTAAAAGTTTTACACCTATATCTCACATGATTTTTTGCGTAGGCGTGCGCAAATATTTTGGTCAAAGTTGAGTGGTTTGTTTTAAATAACTTTGCAAATGTGACTTATATTTACACCAAATGTGACACTTAATTGTAGGTTGTAAAGATCTATCAATATACCAAATTTGAAAAAAAAAATCCATAAAAGTTAAGTATGTTTTTCTATCAAATACAGTTTCCGTACTTTCGGTGTGAAGAAAAAAAAAGGAAAAAATTCAATCAAAATTGGAAATCTCGTGTATTTCTTAATAGATTGCCTTGAAATTTGGTATGTGAAGTAAGGGTCCAGTAGAGCACATACACTGAAAATACGTGATAGTTTGGATTACCACAGTCCGAGCTACAGAAAGTGGAAAATCGCTAAACTATCACTCCTGTTAATAAGACACAGTGTGTCCTGTAGGTTGTTTTGGCCGCACGACACACTACCGTGTGTCTTGATTCAACATAAATCAAAACTAATAAAATACGAAATAATTAAAATACATTACTATACTCCAAAACATAGAAAACAAAGTATTATTGAAGAACATGATAAAACTTCATAGAATTAAAACGTGAATCACAGTAAACAGAATATAACGTCCAATGAAACGAAACTAAATCTTAAGGTTAAGTCAAATTATTAAAGCTAAAGAAACCATAACTTTATCAAAGAAACTCAAAACTGTGTATACAAAAATTTGGATGTCTTAGTATGACTTTCCTCGTTCATTTCAACCCACTAGTCGTCCAGTTGAAAATCCATGAAAATAAACCAGCCTAAACTTTCAAGGTTATCCAGACAACCACTTTTCCGTGGAAATGGAAACAGGAAAGCATCACTGTTTTTGGGGTGATATACTGATTACTTTCCTTAGTGCCCACATACTAGTACCAGGGTATCTTTACTTTTAACAAATAAAATATTCAGATGTTTATATCATCATTTTGATAGAGAACAGTTACGTCTATGTCTATCTTTCAATTTTCAAAAAGGGTTATATTAAATATTGACAGAATACCTTGTCCAAGTATTGTCTTGTGTGCCATAAGAAGAAAATTTTTTCAAACAGCAGAAAATAAAGGTCAGATTACAACTTTAAAAACTGTGAAATCCAACAACTTCTAATGTCATGTTTTCATGAGTATTTTAGGGTATCAGACATGAAAGTAAACTGTACAAAACATTTAAATGATAATCAGAGTTAATTTATAAGCAAAGGGAACTGTCATGTAACCAGTTATATTATCTGATATGTATATGTATGCAGACTCATCCCTAGTGTTTCTTACCTTCTTTAGTTAGTACAGTGTTTCAGGTTCAACTAGAAGTGCAAACATTCTCACACATATACATTTCTAGCTGTGAGTATTTTTATCAATACAATACTAGTCAAGAAATTTGGCCACATTTCTTTTTCTGTAGCTATTCATAGGGTTTTTCTTTTAATATTATTGTAACATAGAATATACTATGTAAAAGCAGATGGTGATATTTTCCATTGAGGGGGAGGAGTAAAGTGATACCTCTAGGAAATATCCTACTTTATTTTTTATTGAAATGACCATCAATGATATGGGTCATACATGCATACT